TTCAATAAAACGGACATGACCTGTGGTTGGCTGAATACAAAATGCAGAACCAGGGATACCCAGGTACAGAACCCTGGGCAGAGAAGGCTGCGTGTCAAGTCACAAGTGGCTCTTCGACTGCTGGGGGTCAGCACCTCTCGTCCCTGTGGGGTTCAAGCTCAGCTGTATAGATTTTCTTCGGCTTTCACTATTTGTTCTACTAACATCCCCCTCCTAGGCCAGGTCCTACTCTGGGATCCCACACTGCACTGAGCTGTCACTTCTCTCCAGTCTCCTCCGGCCTGTGACAGCTCCTCAGTCAGCCACATTTGTGCGGAACGTTGTTCAATTTGAGATGAGCCTGAGACACCGTATCGCGACGGCAAGGAAGCTCTCTAAGACTCCTGTGGTCCCCTCACAGAAGCAACAGGAAAGAAAGAGAGGGGCTCCTGATGGCCAAAGACAGAGAATGCGAGGGGCACAAAGAATGAATGGAAACAAACGTACAAAAGTCCACAGTGGTTACAGGCCACCACTACACAAGTAACCAGTGAAGGCTGTTAAGACACCAACTCCTTTTTCTGAAGATTGTTCCAGGGAAACAAGCCATCAGCCAAAACTAAAGACCAGGGCATACTGTTCACTACACTGGAGTCACAACTAAAAACTGGGTGAATGACAGAATCTGGAAATCACAACGTTGCTATAGCTAATGAAATGATCGCTGATGTCTGCTAGAAAGGAGGGAAAGAGCTGACAGGGAGCTCAGAGGGACTGAAGCCACTTTTCAACCTGATGACTAACGTGCAACAAGTGGGTATTACACTCTTACCGGGATGAAGAGCATCAGGTCGATCAAATATTCTTGTCAAAATAGTACCTGTGTTTAATCAAACTTCCAGACCCCACTCCCAATTTAAAGGAAACCCTGGGAACAGTATGTGTTAAACAACACCAACGAATGTCACGAGCTAAACCCAAAATGTGGGGCATACTATAGACAGGTGCCCCATTTCTACAGCAAACCTGAGACATGAAAAAAAAGGGAGATTTTTATTGCTACAAAATGGAAAAGCTTTAACCAAAATAACCTTATGTATGAGAAATGTATCTGGACCCAGATGCAAATAAATTAAGTTAAAATGATATTTTTGACAGGAAAAATTGAATGTTGCCTGGGTGATCAAAGGTATTACAGAATGATTAATAATTTTGTTGAGTGCAATGAAGGTGCTGTGGCTTTTATTTTTAAAAGTCTCATCTTTAAAAGATATAAACTAAAAGACTACAGATTAAATTACATGTCTGGAAATTGCTTTGGAATACGCTAATAACTTTTTGTGAGTGTAAGGAAAGAGAAGAAACAAAAATACAAGAACGCAGCAAGCTGATGGAAGCTAAACTGAGGTAATGGGTACCATATGTGGAGGACTGCTGCAATATCCTCCTCCTTCTAAGGTTGAATTCCATAATAAAAGCTAACAAGACTCATCTAACCAGGCTACAGTATCAACACACACCCAAAACTCCCCATACTTACGTCTATTTAAAATATGCACTAATGAAACAATTCAACAATATGTAAACCATTTTATAATAATACTCAGGGCAGCTTTACTCAAAAAAGGGGAAATAAACACTGAACTATAGAAAAGCAAAAAATAAAGCAATATATTACAAGTATTAAAAATATTCACCAAGATTATATAAAGTAAAAAAAGCAGGATATTAAAAAACTGTGGACAGTATAATTGCAACTATATTTTTAAAATTCACATAACTCTGTGAATATTTAAAAATGAAACAAATGAAACTAGAAGGACGGACCCCTAATAATGTGTAGTTAAGATTAAAACTCAAGGATCATGTTCCACTTTGCTTCATTTCTGTAGGTTCAACATTTTTTTTTAATAACTTACTATTTATATAACCACACATACCTAATAAAACTCACTGGCTGGCTGATTTCACATTTATCAAACAACTACCTAATCCTTTAGGGTCGAGGAGAGTCTACATAAAGAGCAGGTACTGACCCAGTTGCCCCTCAATACAGGTAATAAAGCTGTCATTCAGTTATCACAACATTTTCTCATGCAATTATATTATCAGTTTTGTTCTCTAAGACAGTGGGTCTCAAAGTATGTTCTGGACTCCATGAGAGGTCCCAGAAGCCCTTTCTGGGGCCAAGAGGTTCAAAGGATCAATGCTGAATGCACTTATTCTCTTCTCACAAAAGCACAGTGGATTTCTGGTATAGGAACAAAGTTCAAGGTTACATGAGAAGACTATTAACATACTCCTCACTTTCCCAGCCACATGTATGTGTGAAGCCAGATATCCCTCTTACATGTCCACCAAACTAGTGTGTCACTGACAGAGCAAATGCAGAAGCAGACAAGATTCCAGCCCGGATTCAATTAAATCACACATTAAAGAGATTCACAAAAATACGTAACAATGCCACTCTCATCATTAAATTGCTTTTTGTTTTGGAAAAGAGTGCTATTTTTTTCACAGGCAATGTTATTTATATTACATGTAAGGAGTTTGTTATTATTCAAGAAAAATACATATTTAAAATTCCTATGTCTTAATTTTTAACAAAGAAAGAACCAAGTCATGTAAACAAAAGCTTTCAGGGACCTTCAATGTTTAAAAGTGTAATGAGATCCTGAGCCCACAAGGTTTGAGAACCACTGACAAAAGACACAACTAGTTCTGACTGACAAGTGCCTGGTGTTCACGGCTGGGAAGACATGCCACTTTCACGGTGGCCAACAGATCAACCCACAATCAATTGATCCACAGAGTCAATACAATCCATCAAAATTCCACCAGCCTTTTTTGCAGAAACTGATGAACTGATCCTAAAATTCATATGGAAATGCAGGAGACCCACAAAACAATCATGAAAAGAACAAAGCTGGAAGACGGACCCTTCCTGATTTCAGAACTCACTCCAAAGTTACAGGAATCAAAAGTGTGGTGCTGGCCAAAAAACAGATCAATGGAACAGAACTGAAAATCCAGATATAAACCCTTATACTCAGGGTCAATTATTTTCAAAAGGGTACCAAGACCACTCAATGCAAAAAAATACTCTTTTCAACAAATGATGCTTGGACAACTGAATATCCACATGCAGGAGAATGGAGCTGGACACCTAACTTACTCTCTATGCAAAGATTAACTCAAAATGAAGCAAACACCCACATGTAAGAGCTAAAACTGTAAAACTCAGAAGAAAACAGAGAAAGGCTTCAAGAAAATGTACTTTTGTCAATGGCTTCTTAGACTGGACACCAAAAGCACAAACAACAAAAGAAGAAAATATACTGGTCTTCATCAAAACTTCTGTGCTTCAAAGCATACCATCCAGAATGGGAGAAAATATTTGCAAATTATACATCTGATAAGGGACAGATAACTATATAGAATAAATAAATCCTAAAACTAAGTAAGAGACAAGTTAAAAATGGGCAAAGAATCTGAATTGACATTTCTCCAAAGAAGATATAGAAATGGCCAATAAGCAGGTGAGAAGATGCTTAACATCGTAAGTCACTGCTGCTGCTGCTAAGTCACTTTAGTCATGTCCGACTCTGTGCGACTCCATAGATGGCAGCCCATCGGGCTTCCCCGTCCCTGGGATTCTCCAGGCAAGAACACTGGAGTGGGTTGCCATTTCCTTCTCCAATGCATGAAAAGTGAAAGTGAAGTCACTCGGTCGTGTCTGACTCTTAGCGACCCCGTGGACTGCAGCCTACCAGGCTCTTCCGTCCATGGGATTTTCCAGGCAAGCGTACTAGAGTGGGGTGCCATTGCCTTCTCCATCGTAAGTCACTAGGGAAATGCAAATAAAACACAAGATACCACTCACTGGCAAGGCTATAATCAAAACGACAAATAGTAAGTGTTGACAAGGGTGTGCAGAAATGAGTTCTTCATACATTGCTGGTGGGAATTTAATAGCACACAGGCACTTGGGTGAACAGCTTCAAAATGTTTAAACCATAATGACTCAGCAACTGCACATCTAGGTATATACCCAAGGGAACTAGCTTCCTCCTTCCTGGAGGCAGCCTCGAGTCCCCTTCTCAACCCATCCTCATTACCCACAGCCTCTCTGCTCTTTACAGCAACGATCACTCTGAGCTTCTCAAAGGTATCCAAGTGTTTCTTCTTCTCATGAACAAGACATAACAGGACAATAAATCCCACCAATGATATGCTACAATTTACCCCAAAGAGATTTGCTCTGTCACTCACACTCTAATACATATGTTTTACTATCCTGTTGTCTAACTACTTTTTCTGTATTTGCAGCTAAGAATGCTAAGGTCTCTTCTGATGCCTAGTAACTGTGTGTGATCAAGAGGAGTGAGTCAAGGAACAGAGTATGAGCAGAGAAGATGGCTGAGATAAGATGCTATCACACAGACGTGTGTTCTGAGGGCTCCAGCATGACAGGGATCATTTTATTAAAAAAAAAAATAGCAAATATTCAATTAGATAAGTAAACAATTTTACCTAAACATGGAAAATGGATTGTTAATAACTTCAGAGATTGTCTTTATTAAATAATGTGTGATTCCCTTTGAGAATCAATTAGAAAAGTCAAAATCTGTTACTTTCCATGTCTACTTTGCAGACCTTTGAAACTGATAAAACTCATTAGGAAAAACAAAAATGGTCAAAAAAGCTAAATCAAATCATTAAAACAAAACCCTAGCATTTTGGGACTGGAAGAACATGTGTTATGGGCTTCTCAGGTGGCTCAGTGATAAAAAGAATCCACCTGCCAACGCAGGAGTTGCAGGAGACCCTGGTTTGATCCCTGGTTCAGGAAGATCCCGACAGGAGGGCCTGGCAACCCACTCCAGTATTCGTGCCTGGGAAATCCCATGGACAGAGGAGCCTGGTGGGCTACAGTCTATGGGGTCACAAAGAGTCAGATATGATTAATTAAACAAAAACAACAAGAAAATAAAACAGCACAATGGCAATTAGTTACTCACACATTTGCTTTGTGTTCCTGGTTGGGCTATTCTGTTTACCTCACAGCTGTCTGCATCACCATGCTGCTGCTGCTTTTGCGAAGTCGCTCCAATCGTGACCAACTCGGTGCGACCCCATAGACGGCAGCCCACCAGGCTCCACCGTCCCTGGGAGTCTCCAGGCAAGAACACTGCAGTGGGTTGCCATTTCCTTCTCCAATGCATGAAAGTGAAAAGTGAAAGTGAAGTCACTCAGTCGTGCCCAACTCTTCGCGACCCCATGGACTGCAGCCTACCAGGCTCCTCCATCCATGGGATTTTCCAGGCAAGAGTACTCTGCATCACCCTATAACATCTAAAATGCACATTCCTGTCTCACGCCAGAATAACTTGTGAGTATCTTGGGGCAGATCAGCTATGTACCTTCCACAGCACATTACCAGATTGTATACTTAACTGAGTCTGTAGGCCTGAATGGTGGTGATGTCTACAGAGCAATGGATGCGGCTTCCAGGAGAGCTGTTACTCTAACTCCTTATTTTTTAAGACTCACTGTCTCTATGATGGTCCGTTTTGTCCACGGAGTCGTCTTAATGATGAATGAAAGAGAACAACCCAATCTCACCGTAGTAGCTGTTTAATTACACTTTTAAACTGGCAGCCAGTATGGAAATATGTATGTCTAAACAGGTGTTGCCAATAAAGTATGAATTTTTTAAAATTTCCTTTTATACATACATACATACCTGTGCTTCTATCAAAAAAGAAAGTAGGAGGAAAAGGTAACTCTTATTCATAGTTTGACCTGGTTCTGCTCCTAGGGAAGGCATAAAATCAAACACAACATGCAAAAACTTATTTCTTAGCCAAAAGTGGGAAAGCATCTACATGAGATGTATATCCTAAAAATTACACTAAAAACTTTTTACACAAAGTGCTTTCAATTTAGAACTAGATAATACTACACAAAAAAATTTAAAAGGTCCCTTCAAGCTTTAAGGCTTAACGTTGGTTTATGACATCTTACCCCAGAATAGTCAATTACTTGAAAAGATTATTTTACTAGGTAATAAGGAATTCTAAATAAACTATCTGAAACAACCAAAACAATATGGAGTGGACTTAAAAATTCTTCTCGGGACTCCCCTGGTGGTCCAGTGGCTAAGACTTCATGCTTCCAGTGCAGGGGTCCTGGGTTCAATCCCTAGTCAGGGCACTAGATCCCACACGCTGCAACTAACAGACCAGTCACAGCCGAATAAATAAATATATATTTTTAAAAATAAAAATTCTTCTGTTACTCTGCATGTGCTTGTAATGGTTGTTTGGTCAAATTCTGGTAAACATGAGCGCAAAGGGGAGGAGGAACACATCCTTAGAGTTACAGCCTTCTATCCCCCAAGTGTAATTTCTTGCTTTTATCATGAGTTGCTTCTTTCCCAAGAGAAAGTATCTCCTAAAACAGTCACACATTTTTTCACCAGAGGGAGAAGAAAATGGAAAGTGCAAGCTTTATTAACTGACATCTTTCTGGACATGACCAGGAACTGCTGAGGCCAAGCCTACACCCTGCGCAGGACACAAGGCAGCATGTCGACGCCACTCAGCCTAACACAGAAGGGGTAAACACACCCAGAATGATGTTCAATTTCACAGTTGAAAGGTTAACGATCCTAAGTTCAGCCTGTTGAGAATGAACTCTGACCACCATTTGTCTGCTGCTCAACTTGTTTTCACCAAGAACCACCTCCCAGGTTGACAGTGAAGGCCCCCGCAGGGGCCAGGTATGCAGGGTCTGGCCTGTAGTCTGCCGGGCAGAGCCCTCCTAACCCTTTCCTGCCTTAAGGCCCTCACTTCACCCAAGTCCTCCACACACCAGTCCGCTCCACTGCTGTGAAGCCCCTTGCAGGTGAGCATCCACACCTGTCTCAGCCACACACTCACTGTGCTGATGGAAAGCTTGATACTTCTACACAGAGCAGGAAAAAACAACTACTGCTGACCTTCCACGTGCAGAACCAACTTCTATAATTTATGTTTACCTTAGGGGACTGCATGTATGTAGTTTTGGTTTTTTAACTACAAAGCTTTGGTTCTTTCAATCTGAATACGTGATCATTGAACATGAGATTACTGAAACTCTCCACAAAAATCTTCACTTTCTCTCATTTACATCAGAAAACAAAAAAATGCTGATGGCCAAATACAGCATTCGGTACTAGTATACACTTGTATCAAAAGTCAGAATCAATACCACAAGTCTTTCAAGAGACCCAGAAGTGCTCTTTAAAAATAAACTCTAGATTGTGCATTTCTTAACTCTTTTTCTAGGAGAAAAAGCCTCGAATCATCTCATCCTTCTAATGAATCTTGCATTTCTTCAAGGACTGTCTATCACATTCTATTGTACTTTCTAATTTATAATCGCATAACTGCAGTCTTTCAGTTGGAAAAATATAATACTCTTTCAATACAAGAGGAAGATGGGGGTACGGTAAGCAGCTCAGAACTCGGCACTCTGAAGAGCTGCACGCACTTCAGAGCTCCTCCAACCCTGTGCTGCTCAAACCGGGATGCAACTTTTTGTGACCCATGAACCTCAGCACGCCGGGCCTCCCTGTCCATCACCAACTCCCAGAGTTTACCCAAACTCATGTCCATTGAGTTGGTGATGCCATCCAACCATCTCCTCCTCTGTCGTCCCCTTCTCCTCCTGCCCTCAATCTTTCCCAGCATCAGGGTCTCAGCTCTTGGGATCAGGTGGCCAAAGTATTGGAGTTTCAGCTTCAACATCAGTCCTACCAATGAACACCCAGGACTGATCTCCTTTAGGATGGACTGGTTGGATCTTCTTGCAGTCCAAGGGGCTCTCAAAAGTCTTCTCCAACACCACAGTTCAAAAACATCAGTTCTTCTGTGCTCAGCTTTCTTTATAGTCCAACTCTCACATCCATACATGACTACTGGGAAAACCATAGCTTTGACTAGATAGACCTTTGTTGACAAAGTAATGTCTCTGCTTTTTAATATGCTGTCTAGGTTGGTCATAACTTTCCTTCCAAGCAGGAAGCATCTTTTAATTTCATGGCTGTAGTCACCATCTGCAGTGATTTTGGAGCCCCAAAAAATAAAGTCATCACCTTAGTTTTTTGTATGTTGAAATTTAAGTCAGTTTTTTCACTACTCTCACCTTCATCAAGAGGCTCTTTAGTTCCTCTTCACTTTCTGCCATTAGAGTGGTATCATCTGCATATCTGAGGTTGTTGATATTTCTCCCAGAAATCTTGATACCACCTGGTGATTCATCCAGCCTGGCATTTCACATGATGTTCTATGCATTTAAGTTAAATGAACAGGGTGACAATATTTAGCCTTGTCGTACTCCTTTCCCAATTTTGAACTAGTCCATTGTTCCATGTCCAGTTCTACTTGTTGCTTCTTGACCCACATACAGGCTTCTCAGGAGACACGTAAGGTGGTCTGGTAATCCCATCTCTTTAAGAATTTTCCAGAGTTTGTGGTGATCCACACAGTCAAAGGCCTTACTGTAGTCAATGAAGCAAAAGTAGATGTTTTTTCTGGAATTTCCTTGCTTTCTCTATGATCCAACAGATGTTGGCAACTTGATCTCTGGTTCCTCTGCCTTTTCTAAACCCGTTTGTACATTTGGAAGTTCTCTAGAACCTAACTTGAAGGATTTTGAGCATAACCATACTAGCATGTGAAACGAGTACAATTGTATGATAGTCTGAATATTCTTTGGCATTGCCCTTCTTTGGGACTGGAATGAAAACTGACCTTTTCCAGTCCTGTGGTCACTGTTGATTTTTCCAAATTTGCTGACATATTGAGTGCAACAATTTAACAGCATCATCTTTTAGGATTTTAAATAGCTCTGCTGGAATTCCATCACCTCCGCTAGCTTTGTTCATAGTAATGCTTCCTAAGGCCCACTTGACCTCACATTCCAGGATGTCTGGTTCTAGATGAGTGACCACACCAGTGTGGTTATCCAGATCATTGAGACCTTTCTTTGTATAGTTTTTCCCTGTATTCTTGCCACCTCTTCTTAATCTCTTCTGCCTCTCTTAGGTCCTTACAGTTTCTGTCGTTTATTGTGCCCATCCTTGCATGAAATTGGTATCTCCAATATTCTTGAAGAGATTTCTCGTCTTTCTCATTCTGTTGTTTTCCTCTACATTTCTGTGTGTATATTTGTGCGTTTGTGTATGCATACATGTAAGTATGCACTTGGGGTCTGAACATAGAGAAGAATTAAATGCAAAGTGATAGTGAGAGTAAAAAAGTGCATTTAATTCTCAAAATAACAACTCACAGAAGTTCCTAGGTGGCAAACACACAAGATCTACTATTAGTATTAAAAGTAGAAGTAAAAGATCCTTTTGAAAATACGCTTAAAGTCACAAGTCCTTGCACTGGAAGAAGTGGAAGGAGACCAGAAACATGAAACACCGACCCAGGAGCCTGAGGTTTCTCCCCACACAAGTCCACCTGCAGCACCCAGCAGGGCATGGGAGGAGGACGTAACAGCAGGGACTCCGCTCCGCAGGGGTGGTTTTACCTCCCGTGAGTGTCTTTAGGGCGCATCAGCACAGGGCATGTCCTCAAATAAGTGGCAGTAAGTCAGGCACCGGCCCCAGGGAGCTATGAAACACAAAAGTCTCCCACTTTGCCAAAGTTCACTTGTACAAAGGGCCTATATTAGTCCTGTTTTTGCTAACCAAGAGATCTGAAGAGAATTTCTGCTTTTGTGAAAATCAAAACCAGCTTTCTGAGTCTGTTTTGCAACAAAGCTATAGAAGCAGCGCTCACTTGAGCAGTGAGCAACCCCTCCAAGCTCCTTCCCCGAGACATGCGACTCAGCAACCAGCCAACACCTGGCTGTGAGCAGTGTCTCCACCTATTCTGTGCTTCTCTGAACAAGATGCATCCTAAGGTAATTGCTTCTTTATTTTGGCTTACGGAAGGTTCCACTTCCAGACAGGACTGGGAGAACCTGTACAACACTGTACTCAGAAAGTAGCAGTCACAGAGTCCAAGCATACTCTAACCACCAGCCTCAGAGATAAGGTGTGACAACTGAACACTCTCTCATGTTCACCAAAAAGACAGCAAATCGGTTAATATTAAAATACATCAAATACCCCCCTAACAGGCAGCTCTCCTTAAAAAAGTGATACCATGTTTGAAAAA